TCATATGATTCAGCAATTCTCTTTTTAGATATACATGTTAGACATTTAAAAGTCAAGACTCGGGATCCCTGGGTGGCGCAGCGGTTTGGCGCCTGCCTTTGGCCCAGGGCGCGATCCTGGAGACCCGGGATCGAATCCCACGTCGGGCTCCCGGTGCATGGAGCCTGCTTATCCCTCTGCCTGTGTCTCTGCCTCTCTCTCTCTCTCTGTGACTATCATAAATAAAAATTAAAAAAGAAAATTAAAAAAAAAAAAAGTCAAGACTCAACCACAAATTTGTAAATCAATGTTCATAGCGGCATTGTTCATAACAATCAAATGGTGGAAATGACCCACTTTTCATCACCAGAAGAATAAGTAAGCAAATATGATATGTACGTATAGTGGAATATTATTCAGCCTTAAAAAGAAATGAAGTTTTGACACATTCTACAACATGGATGAACCTTGAAGATATTATATATGGAAAAGCTAGACACAAAATATCAAACATCATATGATTCCGCTTCTGTAAGGTATCTAGAATAGTCCAATTTGTAGAGAGAGAAAGTAGAATACTGCGTTTCAGGAACAGTTTATAAATATAGTAATAACTATGACTGACATGATTGGTGTACTAAGAAGCAATGGTGAATGAGACATAGTCCCACCCACCTATGAAAGAGGCTCATGTGAAGCAGAAATGTGTATAAACAATCATGCAATACCATAACAATCTTGTTATATGAAAAAAGAGCTTTTCAAACACAGAATACAATTCAGTTACCTGGTTAGAGAGAATAGGTCAAGATTCACAGGATATAGTAACATTTCAGCAGGTTTTTAGAGGTGGGAAACATTTCTTGAGATGGACCAGAGCAGGAAAAGGAACGAAAAAGGATGTTAAGGAGGTTTCAGTGTAAAATTAAAACCATAGTGGTGTAAAGATACATGGTATCACCAGAAAATGGAGCTTAAGACAGTATGGCTGGAACATAGGCTAAAATGAGGTTGATGGAGGGGGGTTAATTTTTCCACCACAGTGAACTTGCAGGGAAGGTTTTTAGACTGTAAATCAGAGAAAGGGAATTTGGATTTTATTTTTGGTCAACTAGGATTCTATCAAAGGTTATCAGCAAAGGAAGGTCACTTCCGCATTTGAAAAAGAAATGTGTTTGTAGTAAGGAGAATGGCTTGGAATAAACCTGGAATCAGGTAACTACTGAGAAGGCTATTAAAATAGTCCTGTTAAAATATAATAAGCTCTTGAAGTTAAAGAGACTCTTTGAAGCGTGAGCTGACTAGGTGATTCACAGGGTTGGGGGGGGATTCTGACATGTACACATCTCTACCATAATCTGAAGAAAAATCCCTCAGAAAGTAACATATCTCATTCACCTTTAGTTATGCATGAAGAGGATTTGAGAACTGTCTTCTTCCCCTCCAGAAATATAACTAAAATGCTAGGAGTGTGACATTGGGAAGAAGATTTCTTCTTCCTTAAAGAGGGTTAGCACATCTTCTGAATTTTGTCAGCTTTTAGATTTAAGCTAAATATTGGGAGACTCAAGTAGGATAAAGTTTTCTCGTAGTGTGCACTGTTGAATCAGATAAATTGGATCAGAAGCAGAACTGAAAATGTCCTTACAAAATATAGCCTGTCTTATATTCATGACTCCATATTTCCACTGAGGGTTCCACACCAGTACTTTAAGAGTATGCCTTTCTGTGAAGGCATAATTTCAGCACAACCACATGTTTACACAGTTGTCCAATTGCAGGGACAATGAAACACCAGAGACCAGAGCCTTTGCACTGTACACAAACGTACATTGTAAGTTAATAGGTTAATAAAACTCTAAAACTGAAGCCAAGGAATATTGTGCAGTAGTTATTTCTAAAAAGAGTGTGTGTTTCCTTAAAATTCAATGTGTTCCCCTTTCATAAAAAAGAAAAGGAAAGAATATCAACATAATATTTTTAAGCAACCAATTTCTCCTCTCCTCTACCTCCAATAACTCGTTGCAAGTCACTTAAGTAAGGGGCAGTAACCCCCCCCAAAAGGGTTACTGAACAGAAAATGATTCTTTTTATTCTTATTGCCCCCCTATTTTGGTGAAATCTGAATCTTGTGTCCAATATTCTGCTACACCATCAACTCCTATTTTCCAAACCTGAAAGCTAAAACAGTCTTCATTATTCTTGACTTTCCTACATCATTTAACCCTTCGAAAGATTTCCTTACTTGTCTCTTTAATACCTTTGTTTTCTACCTCCTTCTTGATGATTCCTTCTCTCATCTTTATCCCTTCCAGTTTATTTTTTCCTTCTATATGTTGCGACTTCTCAAAGGTATGTTCTCTTATTATTATTATCTTCTTTTTCTTACAAATCTTCTCAGAATGAGAATGCCAGGCCAGTAGCATCACTAATACCAGGGAACTTGTGAGAAATGCAAATTATGAGGCCCCAAAGCACATCAGCTGAATCAGAAACTCTAGAGTGTGAGTTCAGGGATATGTGTTTTAACAAGCCTGCCAAGTGATGTAGGCTGAAGTCTAAGAATCACTGCTATGTTATAATTGTCTGGCTTTTGGCTGATTGCCCTACTTGACTGTGGGCTGTTTTAGGAACTATGGTAGACTCTCGGGATGCCTCAGTTGGTTGAACACCAACTCTTGGTTTCAGCTCAGGCCCTGATCTCAGGGTCCTAGGATGGAGCCTTACACTGGGCTTTTTGCTTAGCCTGGAATCTGTTTAAGATTCTCTCTCTCCTTCTGCCCCTCCTCCTGCTCATGCTGGCGTGCTTATACTCTCTCTCTCTCTCTGAAATAAATAGTTTTTTTTTTTTTTTTCAAAAAAGAAGAAACTATGGTGAAATCATTTTGATTGTGATGTCAGTATCCAGTGTAGAGTCTCCTACATTATTGCTATGTAAAACTAATTTGTTTCAATTCATGGACAAATAAATGGCTAAATAAATGACAACTTTTTTATGAGCTCCAATTCCATATCTCAGGTAACTGTGTGATTTGTATGGAGAGCCGAGTCACTTCAAAATCAACTTCTCTAATAGGAAAGTTGAGATCTAACACCTCTCATCAACACTGTCTTCCAAAACAATTGTATGTGTTTGTTTCTGTAACCCTCACTGACTTTTTAACTCTCTGAACTCTCCTCCATTAAGATTAAAATAATTTTTCCCCATTACTCATGGAAAAACCTTAGTAATCATCTTTCTTTGAAGAATAGCTTCATTTATGCTGACCATACAATTAAAATATATTCACCATAAAAAAAATCTGAAAAATTCAGTTACACACACAAATAAATAAAAAGCACTGGAAATTCCACCCATCCAAGAAAACCAATGTTAGTTGGTGTGTATTCATTTCACTTTTATTCCTAGCATGTTTGCATTTCACTGTTTGTCATTTCACTGGAGCATAGTGCTTTCTAATCTACTGCTATTGTACTATATTGGATGTATTTTCATGTCCTTAGAAAGTATTTTCCACAGATTTCTTAATGATAGCATGATACTTTTGGCAGAAATTGACCTATCCTCATCCTTAATTAATTGGAATTTCCATCAAAACCTTTTCATTACCTCCACCCTTGCTGTCCAGGCTCTATCTTACTCCTGTAACCTACTGCAGTAGCCTCCTATGCCAGATGAATTTTTCTAAAGTTTAGTTCTGAGCAAATTGCTTCAAAGTCAAAATGACTCCCCACTGCCTTCCAAATAAGGCCATAGTCCTGAGGAGGACCGTCAAGAACTCCTGTTGATTTCTTTTGCACAGCCAAGCCTCTAGGTGAGACTGCTCACCATTCTCACAGCATTTCCTTTATTTTCTCTCCTTCTGAATTTTCCACTTCTCTGTCCCATCAGTCGTTTCTAATAGTGATTTTACCCAAATGGCTGCTTCAGTGTGAGGCCATGCTACAATCACCACCTCCTACTCTCAACACTGCTCCATTCCTTATCCTCCTTCTCTGGTCTTTCCTCCTTGGTTCTTACAACTACCTAACAGACCATATATTTTACTTACTTAACTTGGTAATTGCTTCTGGGCCTCAACTGTAATAAAAGCTCTATGAAAGCAATGATTTTTATTTCTCTCGTTTATTGCTGTAAATGAAATCTACACCAACTAGTTCATACATAAGATGCACTCAGAATATATTTGAAATTCTGAATGAATGAATGAATGAATGAATGAATGAATGAAAAAATTAATTAATAATGAATATTTACTGGCAAAATTCTGCAAGACCTCAAGGAAGTCAAAGCTCTATCGAGGTGCTTTGCACATAGTACATGTTCACAATGGAGTTGTGCAATGTGAATCCAAATAATCAGTTAAAATGTTACACTTCCCTGAAACTTGTATTTAAAACTTCTGTTGGGGCATATGGGTGGCTCAGTTGGTTAATAAGCGTCTGCCTTTGGCTCAGGTCATGATCCTGGGACCTGGGATTAAGTCCCGCTTTGGGCTCCCTACTCACTGGGGAGCCTGCTTCTCCCCCTGCTTGTGCTCTCTCACTCTCTCATAAATAAATAAATAAATAAAATCTTAAACAAAACAAAACAAAAACTCTGCTTAAGGTGATCCTCCTGCTCTCTAGAGAGTAGTGATCATTATTTGTGATTATGACATGTATTGCATACTGAACTGAGTTATATATTGCCCTTCCCATTGAGTAATAAAGCAGCTCTTTAAAGGCAGATACCAATTATCTTTGAAGCTCTTGCAGTTTTTAGTGCATTGACATTCAATAAATAGTTCTAAAAATAATTAGATCATTGCCACAAATAAAATAATAATTTTAAAAGCAAAGAGTTATTTGTGAGGGCATTTTACCATTTTCCCTGTTGTTAAAGATATACATATTTTATTTTTAAAAGAATATAGTTCTTTTAAAATTTTAAACTCTTTTTAAATTCTTATTTTTTAAGAATAGTTATCTGGTAACTATTACCAAAGAAATCACCATGTGAACATTCTGTATCTTTGCAGATCATTAATGCTGCACTTGCTTTGGCTGCAAGACCCAAAAGTCAAGTGGTCAAAAAAACCATGGAAATGTACAAGCATACATGGGAGAATCATATCCATGTCCTCACTGAAGCTGTAGATGACATTACAAGCATTGATGACTTCCTTGCTGTATCTGGTATGTTTTTGATCTTTTAATTTATACATTTGCTCTTGTCAATTTTCTGAAACAGGATAATTCTGAATATAATTAATTTTATGCAGTATAATGAGACTCTTTTTAATGATCATCTTTCTTGAAGCAAAGTACTGCTATGTGTGATCTACTCTAGGATAATGAATCTCATGCCTTGTAATCCTTACAACTCAACAATTTACAATGTCTCTAAAAGAAACTCCTATTCATAGGCAAAGAATAATTGAAAATAGTAGCTGGAAATCTTAGGCATTCTCTGACTTTTTGAATAAACAATTCTCTCCTCCTTTAATATATTTATATCTTTTGATTTCTTTTCTGACAGAATTTTTCTCCACTCAGAAAAAGAAATATATGTATATTTATTTATATTTATATATTTTATATATAATATATATGCTAGAAAGAAAAAGTCTTCATTGATTTGAGATATCATATATACTTCAACTTCCAGTATATGTATTTAAATAATGGTGATATAATCCTATAATAAGTCTAAACATCTAACTACAGCAGTTACAGATGGGCTTGATTCCATATCAAACCTAGGTGATTCTTTTATCACAGACTGGAATAGCATCCCATGGGATTACGAAATTAGTCTCATAAAGCCATAGTCTCAGAAGCAAAACTCAAGTTTTTGATTATATTTTATAACAGCAAAGAACTAAATACTTTTTCATCTTTTTTTGTTTTCTTAAAAATTAAGCCTCTCGAGGGGGGAGGGGAGGAAATTAAGCCTCTCTTTAAAATAAATTACATTTTTGGGCACCTGGCTGGCTCAGTGAGAAAAGTCTGTGACTCTTGATCTCAGGGTTCTGAGTTTGAGCCCCTTGTTTAGGTACAGAGATTATTCAAATAAAAAAATACATTTTTCCTTTATTTTGAAAGATGTTAGTTGTGATTAAATTTTTTAAAAAATGCATATTCTCATGAATTTTTAATGTCATTTTATCTTTTAAAAGTTTTCTGATATACTTTGTCTAATCTATGGATTTCATTACTTTCTTACGTGTAATATTCTCTTCTTGAACAATAGTTCTGGAAACCTGGTGTATTTTCTTGATACATCAATGAAAAGAAAATGTGTGATAATTATTTTAAAATTGTTTTATTTTTGTAGAGCTGAAAACTTTGAAAATAATAGAAAATGTATGGATGAAAATATTAACATACCTTGATCCCACTATTCATAAATAACAACCATGGATATCTGATTTTTTTCCATCTAGGTGTGTGTGTATATATATATAATACATATTATTTATGTGTTTAACCATATTTATGGTTTTAAATAATTGTGTCGTGAGGTATATAATAAATATTTGGCTGAATTTTCCCACATCCTTATACACTTATCAAAAAAATCTGTTCTTCTTTCATTAGCAATTAGATAAATTACAATTTTAATCATTATAAACAACGCTATGTTAAGCATAGTTTTGTCTGTTTGCAGTCTTCTTAGTATAGATTTTGTGCTATGTGTATCCAAGCAAAATCTTATATTGGGGCAATCTTTCATTTAATTATTAAATGCTAGATTCTGTTTTTAATTAGTTCTTTTGGTTACAAAATGAAGAAACCTTCTCACACTACTCTATGTAAAGGCAGTTTATTATAGGTATACTAATGACACAGTAGGGAGAAGCTCCTGGACACACAAGAATGGGAACTGTAATTGGCCTGTCCTTGCATGATTGGAGCTGTGGGAAGCCTGAGATCTGAGCAAGTCTGTAGGTCCTTAGAGAAGTAGCTCATCTTTTTCTTTTCAGTGCTCGATTAACCTGACCTACCAACATTCTGAGTCTGCTACTTTCTGTGAACTGCTTTAGCACTTCAGCGTGTTTTGCCTACCCATAACAGAAAACTCATATGGAAATTTTCTACATAACAAAAATCTTTAATTACCTCAAGTAACTAGATGTTTAAGATAGTTGATTCTAGACTGACTAGCCCAAACATACAAAGGGCTTGGATAGGAATAGTCAAGATATGGGAGTAATAGAATTTTATAACTAACATTGTTTAGAGTTGTCAGTACAGGATAATAATTAAAAAGTGGATTAATATTTAATGTGTTTCATTATTGTTTTAAAATTCTCTACAGATGATGCACTTCATTATTTTCTATACTCAGGGCGAATTGTTCCTACTTTCCTGCCCTTTGGATGCTCTAGTTGGTAGTGGTCTATGGTTATTAATGACCTATATTGACATCTCTGGATTCTACTGACCTTCCTTCAAGGTTGTATCTCAGAGCATTACATCTCAAAGCATCGTATAATGCTACCTAAAGCAGGAAGGCAAGGTAGCTTGTTGACTTTATCAGGAGGAAATCTTTACTGGGTGGCTTCCATCAGACTTTTTTTATGTGTCTTAGGTCAAAACTTGTTCCTGTACCTACCCCTGCACCAACTGCTGGCAAAAGGAATTGGGATTTCCATGATGGGCTTAGAAGGGTGGTAAATGGTTAATAACTGACTAGGGGCCAGAGGAAATGGTTTTCCTAATTTGTAGCGCTTCCTGATTTCTGTGCCATAAATACTGTTATATTGGCAGGTTTTAAGCTACCAATTGATGTCACTGAAGAGATGCATAAAAACAACTCTTGAGAGTTGATATAACAGATTCTAGCAGATTACTGGGCTTAGACTGGTCATAATTCAACCTTTCTGACTAATTACTTACCCTGCCAACAAAATCAGAAGTCTCTTCTAACTCTGGGAAATGAACTAGGGGTGGTGGAGGGGGAGGAGGGCGGGGGGTGGGGGTGAATGGGTGACGGGCACTGAGGGGGACACTTGTCGGGATGAGCACTGGGTGTTATTCTGTATGTTGGTAAATTGAACACCAATAAAAATTAATTTATTAAAAAAACAAAAAACAAAATCAGAAGTCTCATGAGCAGAGAAAGAAGGGAAAATGGCTATTGACTAGAGACAAGATTTGTCTACCTTAGGCACTCAGTGGCATTCACTCCTTTCTCAGATTTCTTTGTTTTCACAAACTTTTTTTTTAAAAGATTTTATTTATTTATTCATGAGAGACACTCTCCCGAAGTAATCCATTATTGCTCAATTGCTACTTAGGTTTTGTTTTTGTTTTTTTTTTTTTTTTTTGCTACTTAGGTTTTGAATAACTGCCTATACTTTCATGACTAAAGAATAGTTTGGGCATGTGAACTGGAATTTATCATGCATCATCCCATGTTCTCACAGGCAAGTTCTTTTAAGATGCTCTCATTTGAATGAACAATAGATATCCTGCAGGACTGTTGTTTGAACATTATGAAGTCGATTTTTAGAAAAGCCATAATTAGGAGTCCTCTTTTGACTTTGTCAAAATCAGATTTGAGAATTTTTATCAGAACTTTAAGGTAGAGCTGGAGTAAACATCAGTAATCTTACTGATGAAATAAATAGCACTAAGGGCTTGCATCTTAGACTTGTATATGAAGGTAATTAATATTTCCTAAATTCTGAAGATGCCCTAGATATGTACTTACAAAGACTCTGAATGATAAAATAGACCTTTAATAAAGAATTTTCTAAAATTGTCTCACTGAACATGTGTTCACACACATATGTTACCATATGATTTGCAATAGACGCAACTTTCAGAAACTTTCAGCAAAAAACAGAATCAAAGTTATTACCAGCATTTCATTTGTATTTAGTTATTTCTGGGCAGTGTCTCAACTGTATGCACATTCATTTAATAGGTGTAATTTGGATAAATAAAAATCCTTAATATGGTGGATCTTGTGGGAAATTTTATTGATTAGATGAGGGATTAGAAGAAAAGTTTCTCCTTGACATACAATACTCCCCCACATACTTGTAATTCTAAAATATGCTCCTGAGCATTCTGAAAAGACCAAAGTCTCTAGCGAGAGATGAGGGTGTTTTAGGCAGGAAAAGCAAGATGCTTCTTACCTACATTTTCTCCAGAAGTAGGAGAAATGAAAAAAAGTATGCCTCCTTCTAAATACAAGATCTGAAATCATGAAGTCATGTATCTGAGCTTGCAAGTTTGTGTTGGCATAGTTTTAGGGACTTTAATAGCATCCTGGAGAATCTTAACAGAACAGTAAAAACCTGTGCTTACAGAGTGGCTCCAGAGCTTGTGCTGTGAACAATTTATGTATATTTGAGAAATACAGCTAAGAATTACATTCTCACGAAGCATATATAATTCCTACTAAGATTTCACCACTAAAGGAAATCCTATAGATGAGGCATCAAGATAGTGGACTATATCCCGTATCCCTAAAATCCATGGGAAACAAAAGAAAAGAAGAGTCTGGAGGGGGTTAAGTATGCTTAGGATTGATGATTTTGTCATTTCCTACCAAATTTATGATCTTAGAGAAATAACTTCTACTCACTAAATGCCCTTCTCTAAAATGTTCATAATTATATCATTTTGCTATGGTCTGAAAGTTTGTGTCCTCCCAAATTCCTATGTTGAAACCCTAGTGCCCTACGTGAAAGTATTAGAAGGCAGAGCCTTTGAGTAGTACTTGGGTCAAGAGGATAAAGCCTTTGTGAAAGGGATTAATGTTCTTATAAAGGAGACCCCACAGAAATACCTAGCCCCTTCCAGTATGTGAGAATACCGATAATATAGAGAAGGCATTGGAGTGAACTGGAAGAGGGCTCTCACCAGAATGCAGTCTTGCTGGTGCCTCGATCTTGGACCTCCCCGTCTCTACAACAGTGAGAAATAAATATCTGTTATTTATAAACTACCCAGTCTGTATTATTTTGTTAGAGGATGCTGCACTAATACTTATTTATATAAATAAATTTTATTTAATATTTATTTAATAAATGTGTACTGAGCACCTAGTAGGTGATGAGACTTCTAAATCCTGGAGATAGAACAAGGTAACAAACAAAACAACATATGTCTTATCACTCACATTTTCACATCGTTGGAAGAATTAAGAAAATGATATATTTCAAATGCTTTGAAAAGTT